TTTTGAACAGTCAAACTGTTATAATACCCCAAACGGAAGCATAGGCTCATTAAATCCGTCTCTCAAAATTCTACTGTGAGTACTGAAAAGGACAGGTCTCCTATATGGCACTGTAGCTTCATGAAATAGTGCCAAAGACATACAATGGGGGTGTCCTTTTACTCAGAAGACTTAGCTAAACATAATTTGGGGGGTTTGAACTTAGTGGCACATGTTAAAAAAACAAAATGCCCAGCAAAAATGCAATCCATATGTAAAAAACGCACAAAATTCTTTTTTACCACATACTTTGGCATTTATTGGTGAAAAAATGGGGGCATGTTAAGGCACAATATGCACCTTATGAGATACCCTGGAGTGTCTACTTTTACAAATGGTAGGCCTTTGTGGGTTTTTTTTTTGAACAGTCAAACTGTTATAATACCCCAAACGGAAGCATAGGCTCATTAAATCCGTCTCTCAAAATTCTACTGTGAGTACTGAAAAGGACAGGTCTCCTATATGGCACTGTAGCTTCACTAAATAGTGCCAAAGACATACAATGGGGGTGTCTTTTTACTCAGAAGACTTAGCTGAACATAATTTGGGGGGTTTGAACTTAGTGGCACATGTGAAAAATACAAAATGCCCAGCAAAAATGCAATCCATATGTAAAAAACGCACAAAATTATTTTTTACCACATACTTTGGCATTTATTGGTGAAAAAATGGGGGCATGTTAAGGCACAATATGCACCTTATGAGATACCCTGGAGTGTCTACTTTTACAAATGGTAGGCCTTTGTGGGGTTTTTTTGAACAGTCAAACTGTTATAATACCCCAAACGGAAGCATAGGCTCATTAAATCCGTCTCTCAAAATTCTACTGTGAGTGCTGAAAAGGACAGGTCTCCTATATGGCACTGTAGCTTCATGAAATAGTGCCAAAGACATACAATGGGGGTGTCATTTTATTCAGCAGATGTAACTGAACACAAAATAAAACTTTGTACAGGAATAGCACACACCAACTTTACAAAATACACACAAGAAGTTGTTTGTTATAAGTTTGGGTGCCAAAAACTAAATAAAACACAATTTTACTCCAATATTTAGCAGAGGTTGGCGGTGAAATGGCTATGTAGAAATTGTCAAAACAACCTTAGGTAAATAGCCCGTGATGTCTGCTTTAAATAAATATATAGTTTTGTGTGGCAATTTTGTTTTCTTTTATGGCTATGAAGCTTACAAGACAAACATACCAAATTCTAAAATCGCTCCACATTAAAAGTTTATTTTACTCCTTGTGCTTTGTGACCTGTAACTACCAAAAAAAACTTTAAATCCCAGACACATTATATATTCTGTAAATCAGGACAACTAAATGAATTTATTTTTAATTACTTTCCTTAACCTGCACTAATTATGCACACATTATTATTGCAAAAACTGTAAAAAAAAAAAAAAAGTTTAATTTTTTTGCATATTTCTGTATTTGTTTTTATAATAAATAACCATTTATATATATATGTGTTACATCAAATTAAAGCCCTTTCTGTCCTTTAAAAAACGATATATAATATGTGTCGGTGCAATAAATTAGTAAAATGCAAATTGCAGTTGAACGCAAACAGCAAAAAATGCAAAAAATGCTGTTGTCATAAAGTGAAGGACAAGCTTCTGAAGCTCTGTCCTTAAGGGTTAAAGGGTTCTTGCCACTAATTTGTTTGCAAATTCTTTGGTGCAATATAGTAAATATGTTGTTTTGTTTTTGTCTGCTGCATCATTTGAGCCTTAACTGTTATATTTAAATATACACCATGTTTTGCAGCAACAAAAAAGTATTTATCAATCTTTCCATTATCTTCTGTGACAGGAAAGTATTCAGCTTCTTCCCTTTTTTTTCCACAATTCTAATATCAATAATCTCCTGAAGTGTCAATTTCTATTAAAAACTGGCAGAGATTGCTATGAAGAAAACCAACTCTTTTTAGAACAACTTATGAAGAAATTTACCCATAACTTTTCAAAACACTTTGATAAATATCCCCCATAATCTCTGCCTAAATAGAGAACAAGAGGAGAGTTTACTTTCATATCATGTCAGATCACCCCACATTCTTCCTGTGAATGAATGTATTCTGAATAAATACACTCCACCTCAGAAAACCTTGTATGAATACTGACAAATAATTACTTGTTGTAATTTATGAGCACTATAAAAATCATTGCTGCCTTTCATGATGTGGCTTATTATACTTAATATAGAACTTAATATTAATCTAAATACACTAGGGTATATTTACCATGAAATGAAATGTTCTCTCTTTTTTTTCCTATAAATCACACGCTGTGGTGATTATTTTGCGGTCTAAATGAACACCAGCAGATATTCTGAAGAAAATAAAGGTATACTTAAAGGGACACTCGAGGCAACCAGACCACTTCTGCCCATTAGAGAGGTCTGGGTGCCAACTCCCACCACCCTTAACCTTGCAAGTGTAATTATTGCAGTTTTTATAAATGCAATAATTACCTTGCATGGTTAAGTCCTCCTAGTGGCTGTCTATCAGACAGCCACTAGAGGGACTTCCGTATTCTTAGAACTCAAAAAGTGTTTTAAACGACGTTGGACGTCCTCACGCTATGTATTAGGACCTCCAGCGGCGCCGGAATCCCCATAGGAGAGCATTGAATAATGCTTTCCTATGGGGTGGTCTAATGCGCATGCGTGGTCATTTTCGCGCTTGTGCATTAGGCCTCCCCCGTCCTGCAGTGCCAGGAAAACTGATTTGTTTTGCTGGCACTGGAGAGTCCCTTTAAAACCACATGCACCAATGCCTGCTCTGTGTGAAAATGGCACAAAATCAGAACAATTAAGAAACTCCAAATAAATTAAAACAATTCCTTAGCAGGGCCAGATTAAGAGCCCATTGGGTCTGGCGCAGACAATTATGATGGGCCTAATTATCGAATCGTATAGACAGAAAACACTAAAACAGTTATACCTCCCAAGTGTCATGTATCTGGTGGAGGTGGTGCTGAAGGGAAACTCGCAGGAAACAGCTTTAAGAAAACACATACCCCATGCTAATGTCGTGTTTTCATCTTTTTTAAGTAAATCTATACCCCTTAACAGCAGTGCCCGGTGAAGCAGGATTTCGGTGGGCGGGGTAAAATGGTGGGTCACTGATTCAAATCATGTAACCAGAATCGCCCAAACATGCCAAAAAAAATCTGCCTGGGGAATTAGGCCATCCTGGCATAAATGCATGTCAGGCTGCCTGTCATACATGCAGGCTGACTAAGGGCATACTGTGCAGACAGAACCCTGAGCTTGGCTTAAATGCATCTAATGATGTGCTCGCTCCACACCTTCTAAGGACTGTCCCCTAGCACTCACTTGTGCACTCCTCGTCTTACCTTCTTACTAGAGGCAGAAGCTCCCGATACACAGTCTGGAACATAGAAAAGGTATATGTAGTGAGTGTAGAAAAAAGGGAACATGCCACAGAGTTAGAGACTGAAGCAGCAAGAGCATTTGCATAGTGCACAAAGTCAGGTTTACCTTAACTAATTTAATTGTCAGCCAATCCACACCAGTTTTGTTTCCTTTCATGCATAGGTGAAGAGTAGTAAAAAATATATATATATATTTTTTTAGCAATGGGCCTATTCTATGGGCATGGGCCTGGAACTGCAGCTTAATCTTGCCCTGTTCCATAGTCTTGTGTGTGCAACTACCCTTACCTATCTGAGGGGTGGGAGGAGCTGGAAGCTATTTACTAGACAAGTAACCTCCAAATGTAGTGGCAACCAATAGGCTACGCAGGGGTAGGCAGCCTTCGGCACTCCAGATGCTGTGGACTGCATCTCCCACAATGCTCTTACAGCCATAGTGCTGGCAAAGCATCATGGGAGGTGGAATCCAAAACATCTGCAGAGCCGAATGTTGCCTATACATGGGTTGGGGAATTGCTATGTGCAAAAACCAAACAAAAACAAAAAAACAGGGCCATTTTATGAACCTTCCCCCCATATTACACTATAGGAGCAGGTACACAAATGTGTATTCCTGAGCCTATAGTGTTAAACAAATATTTTAGGTCCCTTGCCCCCTCTTTATCCCTCTTAATAATTTATATTACTTACCTATATTCTAGCACCGTGTGGGTCTGCCAGCGCTGCCCCTGCTCCGCCTCATTGACTGACATCTTCAAAATTAATTATCTCAGCCAATCCAATGCTTTCCCATAGGAGGGGGGGGGGGGGGCAGAGCCAAATACTGCTTGGGCCAATCAGCATCTCCTCATAGAAATGCATTGAATGACTGCTATTGGAGGTGTCCCTAGGCAGTAATGTATACATTGATTTTTCTCTGAAAATGCAGTATTTACATGAAAATGCTGGAAGAGACAGGCTGTACTCACCAAAATTACATTAAGCTGTAGTTGTTCTGGTGACTATATTGTAACTTTAATGTTTTTCTATAGCACCACCCTATACTCTCTGTCTATATCCAACCTATATTTATATAAGTCCACTGTATGCTGTTTTAATTCCTCCCTGTACCCACAGCAATACACCCACATTGTGCTTTATAATTAACTCTGAACGTGGGAGTTTATGCATATCTACTTATTTCCTTTGAGGTGATCTCCTTGAACGTGACAGGCGTCTCTTTTTATCTGTATATTTGTTTTGTTTTTGCACCACTGAACAATACTATGACCTAATCGATTACCTGGAAACATTGAGCTTAGTAAGCATGTAGCTTGCATCATTCAAGCTTACTGTTGTTGTTGTTTTTTTTCACCATGCAAATGTGGCAGTAGTAAAGAGAGTACTTATGGTATAAAGTGGGTGGGATAAATGATGCAAATAACATTGGGTATTTATACAAATGGAGGTCATTTAGTTACTCCAATGGCCATTGGAGGGAATGCCCACCTGCCAACATCAAGGCAGACCCCCTTAACCAGGTCCTACACTGACCCTTCACCTTGCTTCCTTGAGCTTCTGGCAAAGATATCTCTAATGAGACAGAGAGGGGTATTTAAAAAAAAAAAAAAATACCCCTCTCTGTCTCATTAGAGATATTTTTGCCAGAAGCTCCAGGAAGCAAGGTGAAGGGGTAGTGTAGGACCCGCTTAGATGGGTCTGCCTTGACGTTTGTCTAAATATACATAGGGGTTAAGGAGAGAGCGCAGGTAACTTTGGTTTTTACTATATATTGGGGCTGATGTGTACTGTGGTCGTTGCTGCCCAGGAGTGATGGCAGGACATATTTTTGTATTTGTATTAACATTGAGTATTGCTACAGTTGCTTTGCTGATCTACACACGTGTTATGTTAGCATTTATTCTGCACTTTGCACATCGTTTGATATGACTTTCCTAAATACTTACTAATACAATGCTCCTCTCCACTTTCCGTCCTAAATGTACTTGTTGTATACTAGCCACGCAGCTGAAAAGGGCCTCCTTTGGGATTGTTCCCCGCAATATCTGATGTGTCTATGGCATATCATTTATATTGTCTGTCTTCTTACGATGTGCTTCTTTTTACAATAACGATTCTAGTAAACATTAAATAAGAAAAGCCAACAGATCATTCACATTAATCTTTGAAAGACAAACCTATTTAAAATATACATAAATGTATACAGACAACCATACTTGTTATTCATAGTATAGTAAATGTATGTACACTAGGACACTTTTCAAATGAATTTAAATAATGTACAATGACTTGGAATCCAGATGAATTGACTTTCCCGATACACAAAGCTGGTTCATTTGTAACTTTCGGAAATCCCCTGCTGTGATTTGTAATAGGATGTATACATATTAGAGCAATTTGTGTCAATGCTCATAAAATACGATCTCCAAAGGATTTTGTAAACAGATAGAAGTGTCAATAGAGACGCTTTTTTAAAATTTTATTCAGAGGAAAATATATTTGGACATCTGGTACCAAAAATCCAATAAGCCTATCTGGTGTCTTTAATACCATGAACGTTGGTAAAGTGATATAAGAAAATACACTGAATATGTGTGTAATGCGTTGTATATGAACTTTTGTTTTCGTCCTTTCCATCAGTTTGAATGTATGAAATGTATTTCAGCATGAGTGAAATGTTAATTAAATCTGTCAGTGCTATTTTGAGGGTAGAATTGTTGCACATAATAAACAACCTATAACAGGGCTTTCAGCTGTTGTTGGACTACAGTTCCACACAATCTCTGCCAGCAATTGGCATCCCATGCCAGCGTGTTATTAAAACTGCTGGGAAATGTGTTTGGATCACGAGACACCTGCATTCACATACCTAAATTTCTACAGAAATACACACCTCGTACACACTGCACAAATAACCCCTGCACACACACAATACTCCACTCAAATACACCCTGCCTTCACATACACAGGCACTTTACACAGATACACGCACACATATTCACACGCCAATACCCTACAATAATACTTGCTTGCATTTACACACTTGTGTTACTGATGAATAACATCCATCATACACATGTTTATGAGTGATTCTGTGCTCTTTACTGAGTGGTTGTGAGTTATGCTGTATTGCTATAGTAAGTTTTAATGTATTGTTTTGTGTTTTTGTGCGTGGGTCTGTACTGCCTTCTCTGTGGCTGTGAGAGAGTTGTTTTACTTTGTGACTGAGCATGCATTTGATTGTATCATGTTAAGTCTGTGTGTTTCACTGGTTACATGGAGGGGATCTTGTTGGTTTTCCTGGACAGCCGAAAATATGAGCATGTTTAAAGGGATACTCCAAACACTACTTACCCTTGATTTAAAGTGTCATGGTGCCTAAAGTGTGTATATGCAGCATTTCACTGTGAAAGGGCTCCACATATGAAGTTTAGCCCCTTTGCTGCCAGAGTTGTAGCTCCACTCCTAGGAGCGTCACTGGGACATCAGTAGCCATATTCTGAAAGTTGCCATTAATGGGCAGGGAAAGGACAGATATTGAATTATTTCCAGGGTTGAATGTCAACCCTATCTGGCTTTAGAGGTAATTTATTTATTTATTTATTTATAAAATATTTTACCAGGAAAGATACATTGAGATTTCTCTCGTTTTCAAGTATGTCCTGGGTCCACAAATCATTGCATTGTTACATTAGGTACAACAAAATACAAAAACAATATTAATACACAATATATACAAAATGGTCAATGCATTAGACCCAGAACATAAACTAGATCGCATAAACTAGATCACAGTTTAGGCAAATCTTGCAATATGAGAACATAGATATCTGGTTATTTAGGAATCATTTTATACAAAACAAGTAAATACATTGTGAGCGCAGAAGTGGCCATGTATATTTGTGAAATTATTTTAATAATCAGCTGTGTATTATTACCATATGAGATACAGGACAAAAAGTTACAAAAAAGAAAAATGTTTCAAAACTACCATGATTCATTCTGGCCCAAACTCCAACAGAAAAAAAACATTTCACACAATCTCAAGATATCACTACTTGACTTAGCTGTGTGCTGCTGTGAAAATGTCAATATGTACCAACAATCTATTGATATTAAAATTGGCACCTGAAAGGTATAAAAAAAAGACCTGATTTGTCTGACTGAGAATATTATGCACAAGAAAACGTGTAATTTATCGGGTAAATGAAATTATAAAAAAATTGACAAATCAGTGTTGAAAAATCACATAGGTGTCTATTTGCTAAAAACGGAATTGTAATGAATTGAAAAACTAATTGCAACATTTTGGCTAAAGTAGCCACACAGGGTGTACACAGTTGTAAAAAGTCTCCAATTGTACTATTTTTGTGTGGATTGTACAATTTTGTTTTTATTTCCCCACAGTTACCATTCATATACAAAATGAAATGGGTTATTGTTGCAAAATACACACAGGTTAATATTTAAAAAATATTCCTGGTTAGCTAACTTAGGAAGTTCTCTGTAAATTAATTCACTGGTTTGCAATAGTGAACAATTCAACGGTTTAAGATATGTTGCAAACAAACAAAAAAATCATGCAACTTTTTATAAACGTCATTATATAGTGTGAACATTTGTAGGATTATTATTATTATTTATATAGCGCCAACATATTCCACAGCACTTTACAATGGGTGGACTAACAAACATGTAATTGTAACCAGACAAGTTGAAAGCACAGGATGGTTGAGGGGAGGGCCCTGCATGCTATAGAGTAAGTGGGGTGACACAAGGATAGGTTAAGGATAAGATAAGGCCAGGGACTAATTAGAGTAGTTTGAAAATTGGGCAGACTAGATGGGCCGAATGGCTCTTATCTGCCGTCACATTCTATGTTTCTATAGTATTAGAGAATTAATGACAGTTGCAGGAGAGGAATCAGTTGGGATACGCTTTTGTGAAGAAGTGAGTTTTTAATGATTTTTTGAAGGAGTGGAGGCTGGATAAAGGTAGAATTTTTGGAATTCAAACTGAATTTCAAATTTAAGCCTAAAGTAGCTGATCTGAGAAAAATTCTCCAAGTCAGATATGCTGCTAGTTTTTCTTCTTTGGCTTTAAATTTGAAACACACTTCAAGTTCACTTTGAATTCCCAACAAGTGAGATCTATTAAATCCATGTCTATATTCTCTATGTGTTAAACTTCTGTTGGGGTAAAACAGCAGAAAGAGACTGCGATAATAAAGAAAAAAAACTATTGCTACAAGCAAGATCTGTAACTGAAAGTGTTAAAACATCAGTATATGAGCTCCTGCAGCGATTATGAGACCTCACTAGTAAGCAGTTGCTGTGATCCCAAGTCTTTAGTACACTCTGCTGTTATGGTGAATATTTAGTGTTAATTACATCCTTGCAACAAAGCACACATTTACCTATTCTGAGAAATATGACTCAATTTGGAAAGTCCATTTCTTAGCAGTGAAATCAGTGTGTGGGTATTGTAATTGATTATTGTGATTTGTGTTTTTGTTTAGTATCATAGTGGTCCCATTTAGAACACAGACACATTAGTGTATTTTCCTTTTGTGTTGATATTTAGATAATCATATAGCTACATTATACTATTTAGGTGACAGTGCATTCTGGCAAAAGTCTTGTCTAGTAATGTCTGAAACCCACATTGTCAGAAAACACCGGTCTCACTGTGGCTGCCACTCCGTTCCTAGTGGAGGTCAATAATGCTGATGATCTGAGACAATTCAATGCTGCCATAATGAAGCATTGGAGACCTCGTGCCTGCGCGAATTAGCATCTCCTTATAGTATGATAGTAATGTATCTCTATGGGAGCGTTCAGAATCTTCATGCTCAGCGTGATGATTCTGAAAGTTTGCTCTGAAAATATTGCATGACCATCATAAGATTCTGTCTATTCACAGAATAAGGGTGCACGGACAGACTCTTTTAATGGTATGTTTACTTTACCTATATTTAACAAATGTGTATTTGTCAGGTGTGAAAAATGAAATTATAGCAATCCACACCTTTTTTTTTTTTTTTTTTTTTCAACTTGAATGCTACCATCAATCATTGTTACAGGCTCTGTCCTTTGTACCTGGCAGTGAGCACAGACAAAGCACAGAGAGAAGATGAAAAATAAACAATGTTTCTCTCTCTCCTCTTCACTGCCAATGTTTTTCTGGCTTTGAACTGGAGTGGATTATGATGTCATGGGCTAAATCTTTCATATAAATGTAAAAGAACACTGAGCATCTCATAAAAAAGAAAAAAAAATAGCACACGTTTTTGGTTATTTCCAATGTTTCATTCGGTGGTGTAAATTCTACAGAAGTGACAGTTCCACATTAAGCTAAACACTAGTATATTAACAATAAGACAGCCTCCTTACATTTTATATTTTTCTTTGACTCTGCTTATTTGTTACAGAGAATAGAATATCTTTCATCACTTTGCGGGTTTCCTAGCTCGCCATCTGCAAGCTGTCATTATGGTAACTCTAACTGTATTTATTAGATTGGGCATACCTCTCCCGGTGACCATAAGTGCATGGCCAAGTTCACAGTGCAGAACTCTGAATCTATCAATCACCTGTCCGCATTGGTGGAAGCATCCCTTGCTTCTTTTGGAATGAATGCAGGCGC